AGAAAATTTAAAATATAAATATTATTTATAGAAAAAAAAGCAAGTGACATTTGCAATGTTACAAACTCGATTATCATTTAGACAGCGTATCAGAGCGTATCAAAGGTGGCTATGCGATAGAGCGAAGAAAAATCTGCACCATCATCATCGTCCGCGATACAAAATGTTCTGCTCTTTTAAAGCTGAAAACAGTAAGTTGAACTTCAATAAGAACATAAATAAATTTTAATTGTAATCAGTATTTTACTGCGCTGTTTTGCGACACTGCTCAGATTAGAATCGTTATTAAATTTTTGTGAAAGATTTGCATCCTGTGCCAGCCTGCAGTAGCCTGAAGAAAGGAAATCCCCACAATTTGGGTTCGGTTTGGTTCATTTTTTTTTTACACAAAGATATAAATATAAACTCAAAGCATTTCAATCACAACAACGAATCATATTTTTCAATTTATTTTTCCGAAGCCAATATTTTATTCTGCAGTTCAATAATCAAAAGTCGATAAGACCGGCCCTAAAAAAAGAGTTTGCTCTCGGACACCTTGAAAGCCATTATTCATACTGGTTTCTCGACTGAAGTTGACTCAAGTAACATGATAGAGAAATAAATGCCTTGGCATATCTCGACCAAAAAGCGAAGATGTGGAAATAGAGAAGCTCCGAGAATTAGTTAAACGATGCGACGAAAACAGGAAAAAGTTGTCAGAACGCCGGTGTTTTTTTATTTAGGTTGAGTGGATGAAAGTCTTTTTGCTCTTGAGTCGGCGTTAGCTGGATTAAGTCAACAGCAAAACTAGAAGCGAAAAAAAAAAATGGAGAGATCTATTTTTGGTATTTTATAATACATAATCGATAAAACAATATCCTGTCACAGCTATCATTTGTATACAGTATGTCCTAAATCATTTGTATACAGTGTGTCCCAAATGTATTAGGATATAGGAAACTATAACAGATACGAGGGAGGTTAAATGGGAGAAGTTTTAGACAAATATGTTAGACTTTCAATAACGTTTGCAGATTGAGTCTAGCTATTCACATTTCTGAGATTTTTAGAAAAAACTGAAAAGTTAGTTGTTTTTTTGAAAATAGGCTGTAAATCTTTTATTTTTGAACATTTCTCAAATATATAAAAAATATTTTCAGAGCTTTCTTATAGCCGCCATATTGGATTGGATCATAAAATAGAGTGAAAAAATACAAAATCAATGATATAATGCACCTGACTAAAATAATTAGTTTTGGCCACAGAAAATACGTTTTTATGTTTCGATCAATTTGGCAACGTCGCACTACAAAATTTTTAGTGTAAGGAAGTTGATTAATTTATAAATACGAATAGAAACAATAAAAATCTAAAGGAGTGACGTCAGGAGACCGAGCTGGCCAAGGAACTGGACCGCGATTGATTATCCTCTCTCCAAAAGCATCATGAAAAAAAATCCTGAACTTCTCTGGTATTATAAGCAGGGCAACTGTCTTGTCGGAACCAAACCATATTGGGTTCCAAGAAAAAAAATAAAATAAAAACAAAAATGCATAGAATAAGCAAGGATGCATCCTACATAGAATTTGATACCAGTAATGCCGCACTACTAATTAAACTCGAAAGGAACTTGCAACTTTCGCTGAGCTCTCAATTCTGGATTTTCTGTTGACCAGAAGTGGCAATTGTGACGATTGAATACTTCGCAACTACTAAATGTAGTCTCATCGGACCATACAACATAATTTAGAAAAGCTGGATCTGCGTTGCATTTAGATGGTCATCTCCTCGAATTTATGTTGCTTCAAAACTCTATGAATAGTTGACTTGGGTATGTGAAGTTCTCTACTAGCTTCTCGGATCGAAGGTGACGGATTTTCATTGAAATTTTGTTCAATAGCAGCATCACGCCTGAAGCGCAGTTCGGTAATCGATATAGTTTGATTCCAACAAGACGGTTGCCCTACTCATAATACCCAAGAAGTTCAGGAATTTTTGCATGACACATTCGGAGAGAGGGTAATTGCTAATCGCGGTCCAGTTCCTTGGCCAGCTCGGTCTCCTGACATCACTCCTTCAGATATTTCTTGTTTTCATTTGTATTTAAAAATCAATTTACTGCCTGATACTAAATAATTTGTAATGCGAAATGCGACGTTGCCAAATTGATCGAAACATAAACACGTATTTTCTGTGGCCAAAATTTATTAATTTGGTCAAGTGCATTATATCATTGATTTTGTATTTTTTCACTCCACTTTCTGATATAAAAATACAATATGGCGGCTATAAGAAATAACGAAGTTGATAATGGTGCAGAAAACCGAAACGTATTAAAAAAAAATCTAATCACACATGCGTATTCTGCACAGAGAGTTGCTTTGAAAATGTTTTTACATATATTTGAGAAATTTTCAAAAATAGAAGATCTACCGCCCATTTTCAAAAAACCAACTTTTCAGTTTTTTGCTAAATATCTCAAAAATGTGCACAGCCAGACTCAATCTGCAAACGCTATTAAAAGTCTAACATAACTGTCTAAAGCTTTTTCCATTTAACCTCTCTCGTATCTGTTATAGTTTCCTATATCCTAATACATTTCCCATCAATTTGGGACACACTGTATTTATATGTCTCTCACTCGCTCAAGCAATAGTACTCACGTCGTTTGTGACCATATACATGTACCTAGGTATTTTGTTGCGTCGTATATTTATTTATTTATTTATTTTTTATTTATTTATTGGTAGTAGCAAAGATACAAATTACAGAAGCAATGTTTGGTCCTAAACTAATAAACTCTGTTGTAAATTACAATATAATTTTCCCTTACCCATAATTTAGACCTACTTAAGCTACTTTAGTGCACGATAGTACTTATAGTACCGTGTGTGCACCCTTATACTTTAAAGAATATCACCCGAGGTTATACAAATAAAAAATTAAAAAATTATATAAAATTATATAAATCCCAAATCATATGAAAAAATACCCTAATACAAAAACACAAAATACACTATTGATGGTATTACATAAAGCAAGAATACAATTTTTTAACGAGTTGAATTTGTTCTTGTTATTAATCTAAATTTGATATTCAATGTGAAAGTCACTTTGAAGTATCCATAGTTTTATTTCTTTTTTACACTTGTTATAGGGTTGAGTTCTTATGCTAATTGGTAGACAATTGAATATTTTAGGTCCCAAACAATAGATATGGAATTGGCATAAGGTATGCTTGGGGGTTTGTCTGATGACACCTTTTTGGGCAGCATTTCTCGTGTTTATTCCATGATTAATAGCTTCTTTGTAATAAGGCACCCTCAACATAAACCTCACTATTGATTTTAAGTGAAGCTGTCGTATATCAAACAAGCCACTTTCACTAAATACTAGTTCTGTTGGATATCTTCTATTTTTAAATAACATGATTTTTATAATGTATTTTTGTGCTACTCGAAGCTTGTTTAAGATTGTCACCCCTGCACCACCCCAAACAACCAAACCATAGTTCAATACTGACTCGACCAGGGCATAGTATACTGTCCTCAGAGTATCCAGAGTAAGGATGTGTCTCAATTCATAAAACTTAAATATCAATTTTCGCACTTTGTTAGTAACATATGTAATATGCTCTTTCCATGTAAGATTTTCATCTAAGTATATTCCTAGGTACTTCAAGTAACCTTTTCTTTCTATCAGTTTTATGCATGAGCATGTTTGGTCCAATATACAGTTGTTTTCATGTAATATCAAATTTTGATAGTTTGGTAAATTGCAAGAGGAAAACGAAAAGGCAACAAATTTGGTTTTCACTACATTTAATGAAAGCAGACTATAATCCATCCATCTCTTAATCCTCTGCAGTGCGAATTCAGCTTTATTCTTTACTCCCTCCCAGCTGTTTCCCCAAATAATTATTCCAGAGTCATCCGCAAAACAATATACTACTCCCTGATCATCATCTAATACTGATAATATTCCATTTATATATATATTTGTATTATATATATTTTTTCTTCTTCCTGTTTGTTTGTACCAATGTCGTCAAATTTATTCAGGTTTTTTTCGGGTATACGAGCAATAGCATTTGAGAAGGATATTTTAGCAATCGTTTAAGCAACGATATATTTTCGATCTTTTCTCTTTGGTAGAAAATTCACAATATTATACTACAATGGTTACTTAATGTGAAAAAACTGGTTTCTAAATTGGGTACGATGGCGATTGAAATTGTCAGAATTTGATAATAGAATAAATTATGAAACCGTTAACATGAAAGCAGACGCATTATCAAGAATTCCTGCACAACATTTACAGATGAGATCCTGATGCAAAATTAACAACATCCAACAAGAAAAATAGTTTCATGCACTCTCATCACTCTGGTTTTCTATTTTTACGTAACGTTTCAATCGTTTCATCGACCTGAATCTTCTACCGTTTTAAACCACCGAAAAATAACCAGAGTTGCAAGACGTATGTATTATAGTTCGATCAATACACTTCTTCGGTAAATATCTACAAATTTCAATAATTTATAAAAATACTTCAAAACTATCAATAAAATTTAAAGCAAATCTCAGCATTTTTGTTTCATCAATTTTGATTGAGCAAGCTTTTACCCTAATGAAAAAGGCTAACTAACAGTAATAATCGCCCTCGTCCATCTAAAGCACTTATTAATAGACATCAGTACGGCATCAAAAAGGGCATTACAATATGGGAACCTAAAACAAACAAAAAAATGTTATCGATTTGTATAACTAATTTCGGGAGAAATCCACTCCTTTTATATCTAAATACATACGTCGGAAACTTTTTTATGACGCAATTTTATATTTACTACAAATTCGTTGTATTTCTACAGAAGAGACAACACTGCCTTACTTAAAACTTTATAGTAATTGTGCATTCGAGATTTTCATAAAAATCACCCTAATTAATATAGAACAATGTTTATTTGACGAGTATGATGATTTGATTTTTATTATTCAAGGTTGAACAGAATATACAATATGGCGACTCCATCTCCAACAAAATTGGCGGTTCATAGAGAACTAGCTGCTAGACTCGAACAAGAAGATAAAGTATCGAGTATGTCTTCATCGCGAACAATTTCCCCAACCAGAAGAAGCTACATGTTGAGTGTACGAGGAGATAGGTCAAGATCAGAACAAGGTAAAATAAAATAATCTTGCATTGAATAAAATTAATTTATAAATATTTTTAGGTCCACATCCACTATCAGTTACTCAACACTTATGGGGTGGTGCCAAAAAGACGAAAAAACGGACTTCGGCTCCCCAAATGGGTACTAACAACGCAGGCGGATTGAGAACTGCTCTTATATTGAGGTCTAGAAGATCGTGGCCGGTCGCTCCACTAACACAATACAGGTACCTAGCAATTAAAAAAGTTTTTGAGAATAGCAGCTGTCTAGCTTTACAAAAGTAAGCGATTTACCGCTCAGGCCTTTAGGCCAAAAAAAAAGAGGTTGAACCTCGCAAACTTGACACAAGTTCTATTTTATTTTTTTTTCTGGTAGGACAGGGGCTGCTCATTATGGGTCTAATTTTTTCCAACAAAATATCTCCCTGGGTCCTTATTCTTCAAACAGGGGAGCAGCGTTCCCAGGAGAACAAGTGTGTTGTTTCTGTTACTTATATTATCATTTGAACATCATTGAGAAAGACGGAACACTCGTTCTCCTGGGAACGTTACTCCCTTGTTTCAAGAATAAGGACCCTGGAACATCCTCTTTCATCCCCCTAAAGGTCGTGTTTTTTTTTTGGTTTTTCCGAAACTGAGCGCTTCCACTAAGGTTTACAAAAAAATACCTCGAAAGTAAATTAAAGAGGACTAAATGCTCTACAATTTGTTCAGCGAGAGCATATATCTGTCACCTACCCCTTAGCCAGGGTGGGGCTCTAAGGTTGCATGACCTTGAAAAAAGATGTTTTGAGATAATTTTTTTTGACTGAACAGTGGCGCGAGTCCACCACAAGCTATGGAGCAACTACTCATAAATAACTGGCCGATTTTTTGGTACGTGTTTTATTGAAAAACATTTACCCTTTTTAGATATACAGGATGTCGAAATTTAAACAACCCCCTCGCATATCATCTGAAGGGCTAACGCTAGGCTGTTCAAATTTTCAGGGATTAGTGATGTAGGAATGGTATTTAAAAATTCATATAATGCACCTCCATTTTTTACCTGAAACCACCCCGAAAAAAATATAATTTGAAAAAAAATTGCACACAATTCCCTCCATGAAAATGGTTCACATACTATTCTGTGCACACCTCTGATACACATGCATAGACACCAAAATCAGTTTTCTAGTATGTACTATATACAACCCCTCTGGACGAAAAAAAAAAAAAAAAAATATGGGGGTGAATTTTTTATTTTTTTTGGCTTTTTATTCCACATCGGTCTGTAAGCGCACTTTAATATACCGGGTGCCCACGAGATTACTTTCCGGCTGCCATTTTTTTATTTGTTCCTCGATATGAACGAAACTTGGTAGGCTTGATATTCTAACGGAACGCCATTTTTGTGCATCCACGACAAGTTTTCCTGACTTCCGGTTTCACCGGAAATTACCGAAACTTTCGATTTTCAAATGGCACACCCTGTATATTTTTTGTTTTTTGGATTCTACAGATCGTTTTACGTCCTAGTGTACCACTTTTAAATCAAGTTTTATCCAAATTTCGTTTTTAAATTAAATTTCAAGTATAGAAAAAAAATTACCTACATAATAAAACAAAAATATTTGAACGAAAATTAAGAAAAATGTCGTAGTGTATTATATCGTTGGATTCGCTTCAAAATACTGCATTAAGTAATGTTATGAAAGTGATATATTTCTATTCTAGTTTGTAGTATAACATTCCCGGATTCGTTCAGTAAGATTGAACGATGAGAATTTTTATTACCTCTACAACAAATCTTCTGAAAAACTGAAATGAAAAACCAATAGGACCTACGTGGTGGAAACTTCCTCAATTTTTCTTACTGGACATGCGCCCGACATAGCAAATATTTGGGAAATTTAAGGGAAGTTGTGATATGTAAAAGAAACGAAAAATTTGTGAAATGTCCACTTTATTATTAAAGTAAATCGTACCGTTCTCATCCTGGAACTAACGCGGGGAAAGAGCACGGCAGAGAAACCCTCGATCTAACATTCCTCAAAAATCGAAACATACTGTATGATTTTAATAATAATTGTGAGTCATTAATTCAATAAAAGTTGAAACTAGGTACCGCCCCTGTTCTTGTGCTAAAATTTTAATTAAACACACTACATTCAATCAACACTACCTGTATTTAATACTGAAGAGTTTTTGGTTAGTTAGCCAGTTTCCCAGCAGGTACTGAGGTCCCATACGGGAAGCTACTCAGCTATAGTTGTTTTTGAGCCAATATCTCTAGATTGATTATTTCAATTTGCTAGAATATTCTCTCGTCAGGGTAGGAAAATGTTAGTAAATTCAACAAGGCTATATTGCATGCTCTAAATCCAAAAATCAAAATCCCAGCACAAAAAAATAGCACATCTGTGTTGTTCACAGCATGAAACCATTTTTGTTAAATACATGTACAATGCACATGTTATAAAAAAAATGTTATAAACAAACAAAAAAACATAAAAATGGACAAAATGATATTTGTAAAAATTGAACTCTCACAAAACAAAATAATAATTAATCAACTAACCTGTGAACGCTTCTTACATACACACTAATAACAAATTGAATAATGAATAATTACAGACACGCGACACGTTTTCTAAGGGACCAGTCCAGCTCGTTCTGTAGTCTAGATGCGTATATCTTGTATCTCCTTCGGTTTCGGTACCTTCGTTTTCTGTGGCGCGCTCGTTCAATCCTGAACTTGAGGGCGCATACATGGTTGCAACATTTACTTTTATTCAGTAAACGTTTTTTCAAAAAGTTAAGATTTTAAGGAATAATATTTTAAATAGGTGGTTTTCCTCAAGTTTTTGAGCTAGGGCAAAATTACTAAAATAATGAAGTTTACAGCCCTCTATCAAAAAATTTTACAAAGATAAAATAGAGTTTGTATTTTTCTGAAATTAAGTAAAGTATGCAGAGTTATTTTAGGATGATCATAGCACTTTAGTTGAAAAATCAAAATTTAATTTAAAAACAAAAACTCGATTCAAAAGTAGTGGATTAGGACGTAAAACGATCTGTAGAATCCGAAAAACAAAAAAATATACAGGGTGTGCCATTTAAAAATCTAAAGTTCCGGTCATTTCCGGTGAAACCGGAAGTCAGGAAAACTTGTCATAAATGCACAAAGATGGCGTTCGGTTAGAATATCATTTCTACCAAGTTTCGTTAATATCGATAAACAAATTAAAAATGGCAGCCGGAAAGTTATCTCGTGGGCACCCGGTATATACTTACTGCAACATCCCCCGAAAGCTACCCCTGCCCGCCTGCCCGTTGCATGGAAAGGAAATTTATACGAAATTGAAGACCACCATTTGCTCTACAAATGCATTTTTTTTATATTTGCAACCATTACGAGCAATTTTATAGCGGATTCCAGTTTTATTACATTATCTCGTCACCTATACATTTTATCGCTAAAATGCATTTGCTAAATTGAAGGCCAAAAATGTGTCTACAAATTATGCCCTATGCACTTTTTACGTTCTTGCCAACTTTTAGCCACAACGGTGGCCCAAAATTCTGAAAACGTCACGCAAACTTTATTTTTGCTTTTTTTTGCCAATGATGTTCAGCTCATGTTATAAAGGCCTATATGATTGTTTCTTATAACAGTATTGAGTATATACCAATTATATGTATTTCATGTAATTTAAGTTCTATTTTCCAACCAATAAAGTGTAATGGCGATAGCATGTACTCGTTTCCACACCACCCAACAGTGGTGTGGAAACCAACCTCAAGAGGCGCGTTTTTTTTTATTGTGGTGTCCACACGGGCCTACTACACGTTAATATATGGTAATGTCTGCTCAGTTTATTTTTTTCCCCTCATCTCCTCGGTTGGGGGTGCTAGATCTGAGATATAGGTGACGAGATAATGAAATAAAACTGGAATCCGCTATAAAATTGCTGAGCTTTGGGACGAAAATGTGGCGTAACGGTTGCAAATATAAAAAAATGCATTAGGACCTTATTTGTAGAGCAAATGGTGGTCTTCGATTCCGTATAAATTTCCTTCCCATACAATGCATAAGTAACGAAATAATCGCCAAAGAGTGGTTGCGAGTGTTGCGACAACTTCCATAAGGAGCAGGCGAAGTTTCCGGGGGATGGTGCAGTAAGTATATATTTTTGGAAAGCTTATTTAGTGCGCTCAAAAACTTATATGGAACAAAAAGGCAAAAAAAATCACCCCCTTAATTTATTTTTTTCCGTCTAGAAGGGTTGTACTAGAGAAATGCTTTTGGTGTCTATGCCATGTGTATCGTAAGTGTGCACAAAATAATATGTAAACTGTTTTTATGGAGGGCATTGTGTGCGAGAAAATGAAAAAAGGCAATTTTTTTTCAAATTCTATTTTTTTTGGGTGGTTCCAAGTAAGATATGGGGTGCATTATATGAATTTTTAAGTATCATTCCTACATCACTAATCCCTGAAAATTGGAACAGCCTAACATTAGCCCTTCAGATGAAATGAGAGAGGGTTGTTTAAATTTCAACACAAAAGGGGTACTTAAGTGTTTTTAAAAAAAAAAAACATAATACCGAAAAATCGGCTAAATATGTATGAGTAGTTGCTGCATAGTTTGTGGTGGATTCGCTTTACTGTTCAGGCAAAAAAAAAAACCCAAAACATCTTTTATCAAGGTCATCCAACTATAGAGCCCCTCCCTGGCTAAAGGGTAGATGATAGACAAATGCTGTCGCTGGACAAATTGCAGATCGTTTAGTCCTCTTTAATTTACTGTTGAGGTATTTTTTTGTAAAACGTAGCGGCAGCGCTCAGTTGCAGAAAAAAAAAACGTCCTTTAGGGGGATGAAAAGGGATGTTATAGGGAAAATTTTTGTTGGAAGAAGTTAGACCCATAATAAGCAGCCCTTTCCCTTCCATAAAAAATAAAATAAAACAGAACTTGTGTCGAGTTGCGAGGTTCAACCTACGATAATTTAATTAACATTAAATTTGTCTTGGTTACCATCGTTTGATATAGACATAATTTTTATTTGCCCATGAGAAATCCAATGGCTCAAAACAGGCAAAAATTATTAAAGATGGACAGTGTTCGGTGTTCCTCTTTTTAAGCAAGTGATGCTCGTTTAATATAATGTGGGACTTTCCTTGCTTTCATTGTCGCAAATTTCTCAATAAAATATTCATAATCTTATAATTGAACATCATTTATTATAAGAATGAGTGAAACATTGCAGAAACGAAATTGAGCCATTGCATTAAGCACGTGA